CAATTTCAAATACAAGACCCCTAATGATTAAAGCTATTTTCAATAAGTAGTTTTTCCCCCCAAATTATATCAATTCCCCAAACAAATCATCATTCCTTATACAGAGGAAAACACAAAAGGGAAGGTGGGAGGTCAGCCATGACACAGCTTATTAACTCACTAATAATGGGGCTTCAGGATTCAAATAACATAGTATGCAGTAGCATGTACGTCACTCACCTCATCAGGGCAGATAACTAGCTTAAAATTGAGAAGATCGTCCTGGTCTGAAAAGTCTATTTCACATGTTTTCGGCAAATTCAGTTCATTTATATCTGTCAGGAAAAGCAGAAGAAATTGCCAGTTTAGAGAAGGCAGATGGTTATAAAGATTTGTGGCCAAATCAGTAGAAAAAGAAGTCTCTATTCCCAAACCAAAATATATAATTGCTTTTTATGTTGATCATTAAACAAAACTGATACATTTCTCTCAAAACTTTTTTAAAAAAAGGAAAGAAACCCAAGTCAATAGTTTTCTGACCACAAGACCAGAAGGTAAATTTGATCCAATCTCATGACATTCTAATCTTCCTAAAATTTACAGTCACTGCATATTGTACAAATTGAAACAAGAGCTTACAACTATTAAGGGACAACCAAGTTACTATAACATAAGGAAGAGAGTACATTATAGGCATGGTTTTAATTTGAAAGAGAAGAAAATGAGTTATTTTAAACAGAAATTATAAAGCACAGCACGTGTCCAAGATAGGATAATTAATAGAAAACACCTCATAGCTCATTCTAACTTCAAGGTTTATAATAAAAACAGTAGAGTTGCTCAATAGCCAAAATTTTGTAGAGGGAAGGACACGTGGGTAAATCAGAAATATGCAGTTTGAGAAAGTATTCAGGTATCTACAAATTACTTTAGGCCGTTTATACTGTTTATAGCTCATCCTTTGAAGAAAACCAGACCACCCTGGTTTTGTGAGCCTGAAAACCTAGATAACAAAAGAGTTAAAAAGAATCAGGATCTTCCCATGAACTCCTTAAGCAGCCTCTAAGCAGGAAGGGCTTTCCAGCCGCTCCCCTTCACCAAAGTTTGGCCTGGCTTTTAAGGGCTGCTGAATGAGGATCACTAGATAAGTATATTGAGAAAAACCGAACCACTAAGGCAGGAGAGTGAAACGAACAAAAGCCATGATGTCCATCAGCGGAGGAAGAGCAAGCCCTGGGTGGGCAAAGTTTTAACCCTGCCCACTCAGGTACCCACAACAACACTACCCAAAGATCCTTGCGCGGCAGGAGGAGCCCTGCCCTCGCCGGCCTGGCTTTTGTTTCTTTCCCCTTAAGAACCACAGGCAGCTGCCTAGATATCTGCCTCCCTGACCTTTCTGGATGCGGAGCTGAGCGGCAGACGCTTTCTTGCTGGAGCCTTTGGTGCCGCCCGCCGATTCCTCCTCCTTCTTCTGCTGTTTCAGCGAGAATAGCTTGATCATCTTGGCTGGATCGGCGGACTGTTCTTTCGCCCTTCTGACCCTGGCCTCGACCTGTCCCCAGCGGCTCCCGCAGCCAGGCCCAGCTCAATACCAGCTCTGCTCTTGAGAAAAGAGAAAGGGGAAAAGAGGGGGGGAGGAACGGCGATTCCCGCGGCCTGGCCTGGCCTGGCCGGCCGAGAGAGACGGGACGGGAAGGGCGGGGAAGCCGGGCGAGGGGTGGGGGGGAGAGGAAAGGAGACGGGAAGGAGAGCGAGCCAGGGAAAGGGCCAAGCAACCGGGGCAGCCCCGCCTCAGAACTCCGACGCCGCCGGCGCTGCTTTTTCTATTGCAGGATCCGTGTGTAAGTCGGACGGCAACGGATAGCCCTCTTCGGCCCTTCCCGGAAGAACGTCAGCAACTTCCGTCTCAAGCTCCGCCCACTTGCCCCCTCTCCGAAGGCACTCGCTTGGAGTCGAGTGACGCTTTGGAAAGCGATCGGCCTTTATGGGCAGCCTTCTTTGACTTTTTTTTTTTTTTTTAAAGTTACCCTCGTGGTTTTCCGATTCGGTTTTCTGTCTCCTCGGGCTTCCGGCTGTGGAATCCGAGGCAGGGATTTCCGCCCGGCATTCGGCTCTCAACTTAGAATTCTGGGACTTCCAAGAGCCACAGCGTCATAGCGCTTTTTAAAGATGTCCGGTTCCCAATTGGTAATGGCAATATGCTGGGTAATCGTTGCGGAAAGGGTGTGGGGGTGGAAACAAAACCAAGCATCGAACTTTTTATTTCAGTATATATAGTTGCTTAAAGCGTCGTCTCAGTAAATGTCCCGCGAATGCTGAAAGAGAAGGAACGAGGTTTCTCTCGGCCTTCTTTTGCTCAAAGCGTTTGAGCCTGCCTAACAAAGTCGTCCACGTGCATAACGGAAATGAGGGTTTGCGAAGAAATCTCTTGCTTTGTCTCTTTTACGCTCAACTGTGCTCGCCGCAGTTATCGGGAAACGTTTCTGCTTCAACTAGTCAAGCGTTTGGATCTCAGGCATAGCAGAAAGTTTCCTCAGAAATCCGTATAGATTCCACTTTCCTGCAAATTAGCTTCCCAATCGTTCCATATTTTAACATACATGGGGGATAGTTGTTATACTCTTGAGCCTGCACTAGTCCTTGCGTTTTGTCAAATATATTTAAATAGTAACTTTATTTTCAAGATTTCTTATGCCGCTTATACATTCTGTGGTTTTAAGGAGTCCCCAACTATTAATGAGCACCCCACTAGTGTAAATATTTTGCAACTACATACAGCTAATCCTCAACTTCTGACCACAACCAAGCCCCAAATTTATGTTGCTAAGTGAGACACTTGAGAATTTTGCCCCATATTACAACTTTACCACAGCTGTTAAGTGAATCTGGCTTCCCCACTGACTTTTGCTTTCAGATGCTGGTCTGATCACATGATCCCAGGATACAGCAGCCTTCATAAATATGAACCATTTGAGCTATTTGCCAAATTGCTGGATTTTGATCACGGGCACGCTGCAATGATCGTAAGTGTGAAAAATGGCCATGTCACTTTTTTCAGTGCCATTGTAACTTTGGTCACTAAGTGAACTGTTGTTGAGGACTTACCTGTATTTGTTTTCTATGGTCACACATTGCTCAGTTTGTATGGAGAATCAACTTTTGGGAACTCTTGTGCAGAAAATTAGGGTTTTGAGGTGTTCAAATGCTATTTATATTTTTTTTTATTTGGGCCCCCAAATGGCAGCATCTAGTCAATCTTAACAGCTCTTGGTGCCAATCAAGTACAATAGATTAGTACTTCTGAGTAATTACTACTTTTAAGTTCATCCCAGGATTGTAGGTTGGACTACGAAGTGACAAAACTAACCCAAAAGGCAACAGAAGTGTTGAGGAAACTACAATACAAACATCCTTGTAGCCACAATAGATTTGACCAATTTTCTTGTAGTCACGGTTTATTATTTTGATCCACTGGAAGCATTTTTCTGTTTATGACAATTGGGACCAGTTTCAGTTGTCAAGCACAGCCACCTGATTTTATGACTTTTTCACCAGGATTGTAAAAAAAACTCACTGCATTTAAGTGTATATCTTTAAATCAATCTGGCTTCTCCCAGCTGTGAAGGCCACCCAATAATTACATGACCTTGGGATATTGCAGCTGTTATGAACACATCCCTGTTGCCAAGGGCCAACATTTTGATCATGCGACTGGGCAGACTGCAACAGTGGTTAAGTACAAAGACTGGTCATAAGGTTTTTTTTCAGTGCTGTAGGTACATTGATCCACCAATCACCTGTCTTATATAGTAGCATTCTGCCATTTTATCATTCCATTTCCCAGCTGGCTTTTTTTTTTTTTTTGCATTATGATCAGATTTCTCCATAAAATTGTTTTTCTGCACACTAAGTTGCTTTCAGCTTATTTGAATTACTGCCAAAATACATGGCAAAAATCCCTCTACACTTACAAATTTAACAATGAAATATTTACTCCTAAGTTTCTAAATATATCAAATATTTGTAGTTTCTAGGATAGCTGGAATTGGTAATTTCCATTTTGAAAATGCTCTCCACATTTGCTTTAGCAGTCCTTCATACTAACCTACTAGCTTATATTTTTAATTCTTATACGGTGTATTTTTAAGAATTCACAATATAATTAATGTATTGTGATCTTACTCTCCATTTCCAACACTACATCCATGTGTTTTAATAAATAACTTAACCTTCAGTTCACTTTTTTTTACTCCCTTTCATACAACATATGAAATGTTTGTATCCTAAAATCATTGTTACCCTTAGCTCTTTCATTTCTACTTACTGGCATATATATTAAGGGGTCAATTGTATTTGAAAGACATCAGGTTGGGAAAGATCATCTCCACATCCAGTTATGACTCAGCAGTTACATTAACTGTAAGAATGCTTGCTGGAGTTTTGAGAAAGCCATTCTTTGCTCACTTGACTTCCTTTTATTTTGAAGTCAAGATGGAAAAACAGCTTTTGTTTGTGTGCTACTTTTACACAATTGCAGTTCTGGCATATTTGTTGCTGATTTTTTTTTCACCTGTATGAATTGACCATAGAGGTCTTGAGCCAGGAATTTCAAGGTAATAGATCTTGTCTTCACTTTTTGATTTAAAAAGAAATCTTGTTGGTTTGCTGTGTAGTTAAGTTAGTATGTTACTTTAATCTTTTAAGTAACAGGATGAACTTAACCAAAATAAAGTTAAGCCTAGCTCATGTCTTTAATCCAAATATGCACAGAAAAATCCTCAGTTTAAATTTTGTTAATTCCACAAAAGATGAGAAGCAGAAACACTGGAGTACACGTCTCAGACATGGCTACATTGGGAAAATGATAATTATAAGGTTAAACACAAAGTGATTTAATCAAATGTGATTTAAGCATGGCATATGAAGGTCTACTTGATTACACTTACAAGCCAAATCATCTCAGGTGATAGCAACTCCCTTACATTAATCATTATGAAATGTTTCCAAACTGACAAAACACAGAAGTTGCAAACATCATTTAATTTTTTGAACATGAAAGAAGTAAGTCTATACATAAGCAAAAAAAAAAAAAGCACATTTCCATGAAAGCGTCTCTTTGGACAATAAAGAATAAACTACTGGGCCCAAAAGCTTTTAAAGAAATGGAGAGCCAGAAAGGACAGCTACACGGAAGGAACATGTGGGTTTAAAAAAATCTACAACTACCCTTACCTATAGAAACTGACATGACTCCTCTTGAGCAAACAAAACCAGAAGCAGGAAATCCTGTTTTCAAATAAAACAATTACCACTTGAGAAGAAAGCTGTCATGGCGGGCCAACTGTTGCTTTTGTCAGCTGTCCACTTAGGCTTGTACCAGGATTAGGAAGAAGTTCACAAATTATGCCAAAACATGATGTTCTTTATCTTCTTACGAAACAGAGATTAAGACTGAGCCTGATTCTAAAAACAATCCATGTCTTAAAAACTCACTAAGACTAATCCAGTATATTTGAAGGGGCAGTGATTCCTTACTGGGGGATTCAATAACAGCTTCTTCCTCAGTGGTTTTAAAAAATAAATCTCTATATTGTTCCCACTAGGAGCAAAAAGGAGTCAAATTGGAGAGCATTAATTAGTTCCATTTTATTAATTGTTATAACCATATCAAAACAAAAAAAAATCAGAAAAACAAGGGCATAAATTCTGTCAAACCAAAAATGGGAGAAGACATTCAAATCTGTATAACCATTATCTAAGTAGACATTTTAAGGAAAAGCAACTTAAAATGGAAATATTCAACACCAGTTTTTTTCCTTGGTGAAAATTTGAGAAAAAAGTGTTAATAAGGGGAACCTCTATACTGTTCCTATTAGGACTTGAAGGAAAAAATTCAACTGGAAAACATATATAGACTTCTAGATTACCTCAGATTAATTAGTATTTCTGTGAGAATAAGGGATAAAATTTATCAAGGGAAAAAAAACTGTTCAGACCATTTAAAACATTATCTAAGCCAATATTTTTCAACCTCAGCAACTTTCAGGTGTTTTAACTCCTAGAATTCCCCAGTACCATGCTAGCTGGGAAATTGCTGAGGTTGAGAAACACTGATCTACCAGTCAAGATCTACAATAACTCTCCAAAAAAAAGCAGAGGTAAGGAAAAGGACAAAGGGGAACCAATAGAGTGGAGGGGAATGGGTGAGAGTAGGTTAAAATTGACAGCTCCCTCATTTTATCTCCATGGAATGGTGGTCCATTGAAAATAGTAACCTTTTAGATTGCCATTCCCTCATCCCCACTGCTGCTATCAGCCTTAGAAGACATGGCCTCACCCGGATCAGTGACCGGGGAGATATGGGAAGCAATAGTGTTTTCTTTTTGTGGTTCATCAATGTTGATTGGCTCACGCAGAGCTGAAAATTTCCTGTCACCAAAGGCAGCACTCAGTTTGGTTTCAAAGAAGCGTTGCAGGACAATGATGGACTGAACATCCTCCTTATCCTAAAAAAAAAAAAAAAAAAAGGGGGGGGGGGGTGTTTAAAACATTTGGAATCCTGCCCAACTAATACCACCAGCCAAGACCAGTGCAAGCGGAATATGCCAATGTTCCCAGATCTCTTAAATCCTCAAGTAGCTGCCATATATTACATCAAAATCAGTAGCTGTAGCTACTGCCAGAAATAACTGATGCACCCGCTTGCAAACAGATGCAGTGATGTATTTGATATTTTAATTCTTTCAGATTATATTCAACTGAATATTCTAAGTGGCCAACAAATAAAAAGATAAATTACAAAATAGTTTACATTAAAAAAATGTAATAGGGATTTAATTACAAAAATGTAAACAGATTTTAAAAAAAGATTCGGAAGCAATTGGATATTTTCTTCTCTAAGGCAGGAGGGGCGGGAGGTTATGTAGTTATGTATGGGAAAATACATTGCCAAGGAATGTTACAAGTAAATGTGTACCTAATTAATGGGCCACTGGCCTCTAAAAGTTTCTAAGAGCCTTTTATACCTAGTATTCAGATAAGCTCATAATACAACAGGCTATCCTCCAGATAGTCTCAACACACCTTAAATTAGATTTGGAAAACTGGCAACCAGAGAAGACTTTCAACATAGGAATCGTGCAATACCATTATGATGCACTAAGTGATTGCCTACCTATTTTATCTCGCACCCCCCGAATTTTCCAGACACCTGTTTAGCATGGTTGGCTTACAGCTTGCCAGTTTATCTCTTTAATTTCATGACAGAAGACTTTTGTACTTGTTCTTTCAAACAGAAGAAAGCCTCACCTCAGTCAGCTTGTTAAACTGCCTGAACATCTTCCAAACATCATCTGCAAATTCATCAGGAGATGCATAGGGTGGTGACAGCTTCCGCTGTAGCTTTGCTCTTATCAAAGTCAAATCAATTGTGTTCTGCCCCTCCTGGGAAATAAAGCAGAATGGAAAATTTTATAGTTTTATCCGAAATCTTTTCCATCAAAAAGTCTGCCAATCATATGCATTTTAGTAGCCCAAAGCTAACTTTCCTCAAAAACATGTAATGGTAATATGTGAAGATGGTTGCAAAAAGCTCTATTAAAAACAAGTGTTTTATTAATAACAATCACTCAATACATTTTTTAATATAAATGTTTATAAAATATCCAATGATGCTTATTTTACTATAAACTTCATAAAATATATAAATATGCCGATTAGTAAGAGCAGACCAAAAGGACAGAACTAAGAAATCAAAGCTAAAAGCCCAGAATTAGAATTCTTCATTAAGAACTTTTTGGCACTAAGAAAAATAATATTTTCCCAGCATCTGTTAATTTTTTCCACCTACATAAATTGTGCTAGAATCCAAATTATTTAAATTTACCCTTCTAGCTCATAAAATACAACTCAATGGGAAAAACTCACTGGAGCATTGGAAAGCCGGTGAAGAGGCCTGCATGGTTCAGAACAAAGTAGTTCAAGGAGAACTCGTTCACATCTCTGTAGAAAACAAGATACAAAGCTAGATTATTGGGAAACATCTGGTCTTACCAATGAATGGAGATCACTTGTTATACTAAACACAACTTCCTTAGAATCAAACATAATTGCCAGTTGAATTAAATAAAAAACGATAAAACAAAAATCCAAACAAGCCTCTACCCTAAGGTAGGTTTTTTATTTATTTATTTAAAGCTCTGACTTGCTTGACTTTTAGTCTTTCTACCTTCAGAGACACTACAGGAGATCTACAGATTTATCGAAATGTTCTTTTTCTTCTCTCGTCTTCATGGCTTTTGTGTGTTACGTATAGATTACAATTAATATTCTAGTTAACAAATAAATTACAAGCAATATATTGGCCAGGATTTATCAAGAGAATTTTGTAAGTTTCTTTTCTGTATGATGTAGAAATCCTACATTCGCATTTGCTGCCCGGTATTTAGAGTAATTTGTGAGTGGGAGCTGGTGCTGCCATCTTTAAGTCATTCTTGACATGTAACAAATTTTCTGGACTGTCCTTGCAGTTCTTTTGGCAAAATTTCCAGAAACAGTTTGTTTCTAGGGTTGAGAATGACTACAACTTGCTACACAGATTAGAACTCATGATCTCCCAATTTTCTACCCTCTTTATTTTCTTTCTTGCCAATGTTGCGTTCCATTAGGTTTTGGAATTCAAAACAAAAATTTGACCTGGTTCTGTTAGCACAGACCTAAATATTTTACAGCCAAGGCCTTTGGCTATCCCTGTGTAATAAGAATGAGGTCAATTGAGAATTAGAAATCAAATGTAAATATGTGCCAGGGGAGGGAAAGCCACAGGAGGACAAGGAGAAAAAGCATTTTTCTGCTGGAACAGCTTGAGGACGCAGAAGAGCACTGACAAAGCCTGGCTGGTCTTAGTAGAGGGTTCCTCTTCCCTCAACATGTCAGTGCCAGCTGCTAAAATTATCAGAAGGAGCTCAGCTCCAACCATGACTTGGCTGAGGAGATCTCCCAACACAGAACAGGAAGCAACTGAACATTTTAATGAAATACAGAGTGAAACAGACAGACGGAATGCTATTACTTTTTATATAAAATACTGCTGCTCTTTAACATACTGCAAAATACACATTTCCACTAACGTTTTTGTGAAGGTTAAAAAAGTATGTGTTATGTTAAAAATAAACTATAATGATTGGCATTTTTATTATTATTTTTACTGCTATATTTGATCTACACCACATTTTCATTGCCTTATGGTAACATGTATTACCAATAGCAGCCAATCAAAACTATATACAGTAATTTACTCTTTATAAAGCAATAAAATCAATATTGAACAGTATTAAGTTCAGTCTATCGGTTCAGCCCTCCACAACAGTCCCAGTTTCTCATGTCATCCCTTGGGAAATTTCCCACTCCTGCTCTAGAACTAAAATGTACTCTATTATAAGCAAAGTCCACTAAGTCCTGCCTTGTTCTTTGGAATGTGTGGGCATAAAGAGATTAGCTAAGTCTACCACAGCCTACTCTTCAGTTGATCCATCCATCATACTCCAATAAGCCCATGGATATGAACAGGGTCAGGGTTTCAATACTTGGCTTTTATTGTCTCAAACCAATTCTGAAGAGTGCATCCCACCTCTCAGTTAGACCAACCTTCTGATCAACATTTGACAGCATTTTTGGTTCTCCATCTTTGAAGATTGCAGCCAAGTCAGTCCCTTCTTCTCCAGTGGCTATTACTGGATCAGCACACAGTAGACATTTCCAATCCTGGCTGCAAAATGAAGTGCATGTTAAATATACAGATCACTTGCAGCTACAAGGCATGGGCATCTATACGCAGATAGGTATACCCAATAATAACTGTTTGCTAAAGACTGCTTTAAAGTCAAATTGCCATCTTTATTCTCCCAAGAATGCTTTTAGGCTCTCTATGTAAACCCAGATACAACTAGAAAATGATTCTATTGCAAAGAATTGTAGAAAGAGTCTTAGGTTTTAGGGGTGCCTGACTTATGTTCAGGTTCTTGAAGAGGTAACCTGTTCTTTTGCCTGGCCAATTTGATTTTCTATGAAATAAATTTCATTTCTACTGACATCAATTATTTTCTCAACTTAAAAATTAGGCCAGCGCTATACCTCTGTCATCGCTGTTGTCATTGCTTCCCAAATAATTACACTGACAGCCTATTCTATTCAGACCAGTCACTATACTACACAATATTCAAGGCATAGTAGTGGAATTTTAATACTCAGGAAGGTATGTATTTGCTTTTAATGGATGAACACTTTTGCTTTTTCTTCCGTTACCCAAATATTGAGTTATTCTATCATAATATTCAATCACAACTTTGCTGAACTTAAGATCTAAAAAAAATTGTTTTAAAAAAATCTGAAGTATTTCACTTCTCTATTAGTGCATGCCCTGTAAATATTGTGCAAATGGAGGATTTCCCAAAGATGATATGATATAATTCAATCGATCAATCACTGTGCCTTCTAATTCTAGGGAGCTTGCCTTTACAAGAACCGTCCATTCTTACTTCATCTTAATTATTAACATATGTGAGAGCACTATTCCAAGAGCGCTATTTCCTATCATATACCTCTGCAAGAATTGTACAAGATGAGGCACTCAAAGCAATGACCATTTTTTTTCAACTGAATCTCCAAACTTTATAGCAAGCCATGACCGCACTTTTCCTCCCCATCACCAGGTGCCTGAGATCTCATTAGAACAATTCTTACATGTGTGAAAAGGGTGCTCTTGTTTCATTTCCAAATCTTATCTGCCTTAGAAAAAAAATGGAAACACAGAACAGCAACTGTAGTGGTCTACCATATGAGTTCCTGTCAGGCATTGTAACTTTGGAGCGTTAGACACAAGGAGAGAGAAGGCAATAGCTATAACCACACTGATATTGCAACTCATTTTTGTGGGGGGGAGGTTGGTTTGCAATAGTTACAAGGATGAAAACACTGGATTTGCTGCAACTACATCTTCTACTCTTTCATGACAAGGAAAACTGCATATACAAAAGCCTGTACCCAGGGATTTCCTGAAGGGCAGGCAGGTGACAATCCAAGTGGTAGCACTTTTTGCAACTATCACACATGACTACAGCACCAGCTTTCAGGCAGATCCTGCAGCAAGCATTTTCCTCCCCATTAGCTGTGCCATCATGGCTATGAACAGACTGCATTTCCATGGCAGAGCTGGTGCTGCCACTGGGGGAGATCAGCCGGGGGGCTACAGAGCCTTCTGGAAGAAGGGAATCCTGGGCCAAGATAACTGGCTTGGTGTCTTTAGTATCTGAGGCAGAAGCAGGATGTTCAATGGCTGCCTCCATCTGCTCCTCCTAGAGGACAAGAAAAGAATGACAATGCATAAGAAAAATAGGCAAAAAAAAAAAAGGGGGCAAAGGAAAAAACAGCAAAAGGAAACTCATTAGGACAGATAATTTAAACTGCATCGCTGGTATAAACTTGGTCATTTTATTACCCTCAAGATCTCTATACTATCTTCATAATTCATTGTTGTAATTCTTCTTTACAGATAATTATCTTCAAGGTAGAAGAGACCCTAGAGAATCACTGTAAAATTCTATTCTTATTGCGTCAAGCCAAACCGAGAAACTCATTTCTGGCTAATGGACAGAATTTAATCTAGATATATCTTGAGATATTGTAGAAAATTGAGGCTGCACCCTCAACTTCCCTCCACCATCCAGCTCAGGACCCTGCAATTTCTTAATCTGGGCCTCTCTCTGGCAAAGCTCTCTGCTGCCCAAAATCGGGGAAGAGGATTGCTTAGTACACATTCTATCACCATTATCCAAACTTCTGCGAAACCCTCCAAAAAGCCCTTTGATCCTCTGTAGTTCAAAGGAGCTTCTTCCTTCTAGATAATTATTACCACCACCACCCATTTCATTTTAATTCAAGCTTATTTCTGGTATTTCTACAAATTAAATCCCAGAACAACCTTAACACAATTTTTAAAAGATCTCATATGTCTGCTTCCATTATCATTCATTCTCACTCACTCCCACACACATATTGCACCAACCTTCATGGCCTATTCCTGCTTCCATATCGCAAGAGCTGGCACTTCAAAGTAATATATGCAAAAGATAACAGCTGGCTTAGTTTTAAGACTTCTATCAAGCAACCAAGACTGCTACATGTTGTTTCTGCTAACTTACTCAGAAACAAGACTATTCTAAAAAGAAAACAAAAAACAATGCTGACCTTCACTGTAGCACCTGCTTGTTGGGTAGCGCTTTGCTGACCTCCTTGTTCAATCACAATGAGATTGTAATCTTCACGGGAATTGCCCGGAAAGACTTTGAAGACAGGTGGCTGGTTATCTGATGTCAAATCCACATCCAGTCGCTCCAGACTAACCCGGGGCACTTTCCGGACAAGACCAGTTTCTCCATCCTGGACACGGGTTCTGGGAACATGCAGGGATTATGTTAGGTAACAGGCCAGAGATAATTCTAGCACAATAAAAACCTAATTCACAGGGCTAAATTAAACTACATACTGAAACATTATCAATTTTTTTGACGTTCTAAGACTTAGTTCACAATAGCTAATCCAAAATGCATCTCCAAGTTGGGATCCTTTTGCTTAAGACAAGTCGTCTAATAAGGCCTTTCTCCATAGAGAACCTTGCTTCCAATTCTATATGGAGGCTGGTTGTAGATTCTGATTGTACAGTTGCATGGAGTTCAGCAGTACAATATTTTTAGTACTGTTACCATTTGGAGAAGGAGTTATATATATCTTGTTGATATATATAACTCTTTCCTATAGTTTGTGCCAAGCAAGGAAAAACAGTTTATGCAACTTAGCTCCATGACAATGCAATTTACTATTCTCAATGGCTGTCAGTCCCACCCCCCCCTGCCCAAATCTACTTTCGGGGGTGGGGGTGGGGGGAAATGAACATTCACAAATTATTCTTCTCTATTTTCTGACCAAAGTATTCTAAGCAGCTTATAAACCTAAAAGAAATGTTGTCATAAAAATTATGAAGATGTATTTGCCATCACTCATGAACACAGACATAAAAGGGGGGGAGGGGGGGTTGCCAATCTCTACATGTCATGTTTATGTTGATGGGACCAAACCCTTCCAATGCATCCAGAGTAACTTCTACAATTAAGTCTTCTCTGTAGATAGCTCAAATGCTTCTTCAGTGGCATTTCCTGCATTCTAGTATATAGAGCCACAGGATATGGAATAAGACATGTTTCTCTGGGGTAAAATAAAATAATTTCAACAGTTCAACTAACCCATTTCAAGCTCCAATATAAATTTCATTCTCAACATAAAGGCCCTGAATGCCAATACTGCTATCCATAATCAAGCAAACTTTTTTTCTGCAGGATAAGACCTTGTTTCCTGTCACATAACGGAACGCATGCTTAGGAATAAAAAAACAAAACAAAATGGATGTTAACTCCCAGTACTCAAAAAACATCTGGAACTATGGCAGGATGGCCTCCCAGCACCCTAAAAAGATATAGCAAAACAGAAATAAATATGATTTACCTTTTTATTCCAGACATTTCACCAGAATATGATCCTTCTGTTGTTAAAAAAAGAAAAAGAAAAAAGAAACAAGTGTCAAGAAACTCATGAGTTGTCCCCCATTCTAATCTCTCAACAAAATCCACTGTGATATTTTTGCCCAGGACTGACATTTTCCTGCAGGGTGGATAAAAAAAGATGACTTTTTTTAAAAATAAAAAATGGATTTTGATTTAAATCTGATTTTTTATATAAATCTGTTTTTAATCATATATTTTGATTTTTAATCCAATTTATTTTAATAAAATGCTTTTGAGGTAAAAATCTATCGAAAGATATTTTTCTATTTAAGATACATTAATAATTTAGTTTGTTCAGCATGAAATGGAGCTTAGAGGCTGTATATTCTGCGTTAGGTAGCATGAGGCTGTATGTTCTGCAATATTTACACTTTTGTGAACTCATTCAATGAATCCAAGCTTTGCAAGCTAAATGGGATACCTTCATTCTGTTTGCAAATAATATTAAAGATTCTAAGTACCAGCAAGAATGAGCCGTTACATTTAAAGAGCACTTCTCACTTCAGATCCATCATGGCAACACTTGTTAGCAGGCATCCACTCACTTGCTGCCCACCACGTCCCTCACCTTGTTGTACCACTGCTGCATCACCAGCTGTCCCATTAAAGTGAATGGGACTGTCGATGAGTCAACAGCAGGTCAGAGGAAGAACCACTGAGGGACAGAGATGACAGTTGCTTTTTAAAAATGAGTTAAATCAAGTTGATTTAAATTAATCCCTTTTACCAGTGATTTAAATTATGATTACTTGATTTAGATCAAATCCACCCTGAATTTTTACTTCTATCAAGTCACAATCAGAGTGAAATGATAACCCAAAGAACGGGCTTTCCCTGGCTTCGCTCTATAGATTCTTGCTGAACACACTACTTTCCCTTTCGTATTCCTTACCTACACCAAAGCCATCACCAAGGTCCATAGGCTGAAAGAAATGTGAGAAAAATATAATATTAAATACAATACACGGCTAAGTCCAAAACTGATTCCTTGCCATCTTTTAGCAATGTATGTTTAGTTGTTCTTGGCCTTGTATAAAACAAGGCCCCCGACTGCAGTTTTTCAATTTAATGTATTTCTCTTCTAGGAAGAATCGGTACCAGCTTCCATCTCATTTCATCAGTGCACCACCAAGCATGCTCGTGCATTAAGGAATCTTCCTTGTCCTGTGTTCTGCTCACCTGTCCAGCAGAAGAGGCACTGGCATCATTGATATAGCAGTCAGGGATGGCCTGCCGCTGGCTGTTGGAAGGCAGCACAGGCTGAAGCAAAGCTCCCTTATTCATTATGCTTGTCTGCAGAGACATCTGTTGGACACCCTACATAGAAAAGTGTACCACGAAGCCTGTAACTACCCTGTTAGCATCTCCCAGATTGTAGAGACGGGTTGACCAGCTGAAACTGCTGGTTCAGATGCACCAGGCTACCACTGGAGAAAAAACTGCACAAACAAGAACCAGTACCTGAGAAGGGGGGACAGAACCTTGTCTGACTGCCACTCCTGCTGCAGCAGAAGCAGCGTTAGTCCGCTGTTGGGGTGTTTGGGCATTGGCAGTCACTGGCAAACCACTCCGTTCTGACACAATCTGACCTGAGGAGGAGAAGAAAGATCTGAATGTGGCTGGCATTTCCAGTCCCACAATATCAACTTTCAATTAATGCTTTTGAAAAACTAAGAATTTTTCTACATCCTCTAATTTTGCAGATGCTTATCGTTTCTATCCTGATGGCCCCCCTTGAAATACAGCTCAAATCTCCAAACATGTTGAGCAGAAAAATATTAATTTCATCATCACTCACCAAACGTCTCTGCACTCTTGATCCAGGCATTTAAGTCCCACTGGAACTTCATGTCTCCATGAGGTTCCACTGGATCTACAATCATCTTTAGAGCCCTGTGCAGTTGAAAATAAATCTAAAGGAAGAAAAAAAATGGGAGAGGATAAAAGAGAGGGATAAAATGCCAATTATATATGAAACAACAAAAATATAAATTTATGTTCTGCATTGCCATTACATTGCCATGAAAATAGTAAAACAGAGGCAGGCCAGGTCACTTAACTCTTAAGCTTTGTCCCCCTCCCCCCAAAATCATTTATTAACCAAGGGACATACCAGTTTCTTCGAGAGCAGCAATGCAGTGTTGTTGTCACTCTCTAAGGCCCAATTAGCAAAGCGCAAGATATGTTCTTGGTGGCGCTGCAGCTTAGTCATGGCCCAATGCTGCCTTTCCAATTTCTCTTGTTGGCCTTCAGTGACTTTCTGGAAAACAGAGAAAATTGGGTAAAGAAACAGAAAGTGCGAGGCACACTCACATAATCAAGGCAGATAAGACATCCTTTCCCATTATATTACCCTCAAGAAGATCTCTATTGTACCCTCATGATTCATTGTTGTCATTCTTCTTTACGGGGATAATAATCTTCTAGGGTCTCTTCTAATTATAGAAGAGACCCTAGAGAATCACTGCAAAATCCTATCCTTATTGTGTGAAATAGTTGTCAAGGCCAAATGCAGAGAGAAACCTATTTACTATTTAATGTTCCTATTTCCTCCACTTTACAGTGGTAGTATGCAACCTCCCATGGTTCTGTGCTATCCTGTCTTTTACAAACGTCAACTAATCTCCCCACCCCCACCCCCTGCAACTGAAAGCAGATTCTGAAAATAGGAAGACAGCACAGGTATTTATGATAGATTATTGGTTAGCAAGAGATTAAGCCATGGGAGAATACAATGTAGGCTATTCAAGAGATGATGCCTCTAAACTAAAAATGAAATACCATTTCTGGAGATTTTGGGTACAAGGGATGATTTATACCTCATTTTACCACCAAATCAAAAGTCTTTAAAGATTTAATTGAGAGATGAGAGAGAGACTAATAAAGTTTGATGAATTCTTGAATATGGAAAAGACTTTCAATAAAGAGACAGTTTTGTGTAGTCAGCTAGTATTAAGATTATCAGAATTTAATATTCCACTTGTTTTGCATGTTGCAATTATCCTAGGTGGATTCTGAGGTTCTGCGACCAAGAGTTTGAGGAAGGGGAATATCCAATTCTTTGACTTTCAAAAAGTTTCTTGCATAGGGAAAGATTATTTAATACATAGAAAAGAGGCTTTTGCCATGAAATGGGAAGTGAAATGTAGCTGTGGGATTGTGCACTCACTGGAGGGCAGACCACTAGCCATTTGTTTGATTAAAGAGAATGAAAGTCGAACAAAAGGTGGAAAATGCTGAAACAATGCACTGTAAGCTAAAGTTGTTAAAAATCTGGAAACTTTTAAAAGAAAAAGAAAAACAGTTATTTCACCATTAGCATCACCAGTCAAATAATGTTTTACTCTAAGAATAACTTCAGTGAGGAAGATTTAATCACTTGGGCCAGTATGAAATCTTCAGATGCAGGAAACAGATTAAAGACATAATAAGAACAAAGAAGGAACCTACAATAGTTGATGCATTTTTAAGTAATGAGCAGAAAATAACCTTTAAAAAACAAAGAGATTTTGAAAGGCAAAATAATTTAACATAGAAATTAAAGATCATTAATTAGATTGTATATTGTAACCGAAACACTACACTGATACAATAACAATACAAAAATTGTGACAAACTGGATACAAAACTATAAAGAAGTGCAGTGGATCAATGGATTCATTGGAAGGGAGGGGAAATCAATAAATACTACCCCAAACTCTAATTTAAGAGATAACTGAATAACATTTTATATAGTTATATAATTCCATTGTCAATGGACAAATTGGACAAACTATATAACAATAAACAATGGAAATGTCTTTAAAAAGAAAGTGATTGATAGGCCCAAAAATTTTAATACTGGAAACAAGTCAAAACATTCAGGGAATTTTAAAATAAAATCTGAATTGAAATCCCATATATTTTCTTAGAAATTATTGAGAGTATAAATGCAAAGAATTACAATAGTGACCAGAAACAATATTTCAATTTGGGGAAAAAGAACCTTGCCAACAATACAAAAATTGAAGACTAAAATTGGGAGAATATACAACCACAACCATTAAGAAATTATATATATTCACAACAGAAGTTAAGCCAAACTCAAGAAGAAATGTACTTTACAACAGATTATAGAGCAAGCAAATGAAGGTATTTGGAACGTAGCCTCTCAAAGATACTACAAACAATTGAAAAAAAAATGACTGAAATTGATATAAACAACTATTAAAAGTTTAACATATAAATATCTAAGTAAGAATGCTTGACGGAAAAAATGAAGGGATTGAACTTTTTACATTTTACCTTACTTCTTGCATTTGAGCCACAGTGGCTCAGTGGTTAGAGTGCAGAACTGCAGGCTCCTTCTGCTAACTGCATGCAATCTGGCAGATCGAATCTCACCAGGCTCAAAGTTGACTCAGCCTTCCATCCTTTCAAGATCCGTAAAATGAAGACCCAAATTGTTGGGGCAATGAGCAGACTTTATAAACCGCTTAGAGAGGGCTTAAAGCACTGTAAAGCAGTATATAACCTAAGTGCTATTTCTATTTCTATTTTTGATCTATTTTTTGTACAACCCTTTTGCAGTAATAAAACTAATCAAATACTTTAAAAGGAGAAAATGAAGACACTGCCAAACGAATTTATAGGATGGAAGGTATCCTGCAACTGTAGAAGTTTGTAGTTCAACATTACACTGTACTGGCCAATATTCTCATTCCTGTCTTACCTGTGCATCACTAACCAGCACCTTAGCACGTTTATTGAGCTCCTTCATAATTTGCAAGATAGACATCTTCACATCTACCTGCACACGTTTCTGCACATCTGCCACCTGCCGGATCCTGTTGAGGCAGTAACATAATTTTCTTACTCTACGATCACTTACAAACTCGGGTATGCAAAAAAATAAAAGATGTTATTCTTGTTTCAAGTAGGCTACTGTTTAGAAAATGTTATTCCAGGTTTCAGCTGAAATAAAAGCCAAAGATTCTCAGGGATAATTTATGCACCTTTCTGTTCTACCTAACCTACACCTGCTGAGCCAATGTTTCCAGCATTTCTCTTTTCCTATCTTCCTTAATTTGCCAACACTACAGGTAATCCTCGACTTACAATCACAATTGGGACCACAATTTCCATTGTTAATCAAGGAAGATATTAAGTGAGACGTGCCCAATTTTACGATTTTTTTGCCATGGTTAAGCAAATCACAGAAATAAAGTGAATCACATAGTCATTAGGTGAATCCAGCTTTCCCCATTGATTTTGCTTGTTGGGAGCCAACTGGGAAGGTTACAAATAGTAGTCATGTGACCCACTGCAATCATTGTAAATACATGCCTGTTGTCAAGTTCCCAAATTTTAATCATGCGACTGTGGAGATGCTACAATGGTTCTGAGTAGGAGGACCATTCATAATTAACTTTTTTTGTTGGCATTGTAACTTCGAATGGCCACAGGTCAAGTACTATCTGTATTGTCTGGAACACTATTTGTGTGCCAAATGTATTGCACACAGTGACAATCTTTTGCAGAAAAATTGCAATTGTGGCCTTTCCTGGACCAGGATTGCCTCCACCCAGTCATTCTGTCCCTAGTGATTTCAGGTCGGACTATTGTAATATGCTACCCTTGAAGACCACGCAGAGCTACTACACCTGTGCTAAGCGCAGGTGTGGGCAGTTTGGGGGGGGGGGGGGAATGGCCACTATAACAGCACTGCTCTGCAAGCTGCATGGCTTACCAGTCTGCTTCCAAGTGCAATTAAAGGTGTTGTTGACCACTTTTAAAGCCCTTCATGGCATGGGTCCAAGTTACCTAAGGAATCTTCTCACCCTACTGGGATTGGCCCATACCACTCATACTGGCAAAGGAGACGTGCTGCAGTTCCCATCAGCCTGATTATTCCAGCTGGCCGAATCCAGGATGGGAGGCTTCTCTCCTGTTGTTCCTACACTCTGGAACATTCCCTCCCTTCACCATGTGAAGTTGGCCCCAACCCTCTTATCTTTTCACAAGGGCCTAAAGTTGTGGCTTTGCCAGTTGGCCTGGGGATCCAATGGGGGAACAGGACAATGGGGGTGGTTGATCAATCAACAACAGATACCTGTCCTTGGTTTTTAATTCTTGCTTTTAATTTTATATATAGACTATAAGCCACCCAGAGTTACCTTATAATAAGATGGGAGACCAATACATTTTATAAATAGATAAAATGAAATACTTCATATAAGATTCTCTATTGTTTAAAAGATCATTCCTGTGAGAGCCCTAGAAAATGGGGTACTGAACGGTGGGGCGTTTTTTTCTCCTTGCTGACAAACAGCTAACTTTGCTGCCAAAGTTGGCTCTGGCAGCACATTTCCCAGATTTGAATGGGCGAAACTAGAGATGACCTATTACAACCTTTGTACCACCATGTAATTGCCCGAGAAGAGAAATCTAGACAATTGCAACTCTCAGTAAGAGTGGCTAGAGAGTTGGGTCTCCATTTTTTCTTGCAGCTGTTTGTATTTTTAGACATACTTCCGTGTTTAATATCATTTTTTGAAGTTTAATTGTTAATAGCTTGGCTGAATGCTGATTTGCCTATGTTCTTTTGCTTGATTACAAATGTAAAGTTTGTCTTACTTCATATTTCATATTCATATTTTAAAACATTTTCTTTCACTGCAAGGAAATCAGCAATCTAAGGGTTTTCTTTCTTAGTGAAAATGATTTGATCTGATTTCTATTCTAAAGATTTCGCATTTTACTTATTTTTTATAAAAGAATTCCATCGCTTTTTATTTTTATATATACTCGTCCTTTTATTACAAAAACGATGTGAACTTTCCTCCCCCATTTTGTTATTCTCTGCTGTGAGAATTATTATCTTAGCTAAGATAATGCTAGCTTCTTCTATGGTTATTTGTTATAGAAATCCACTCTCTTTGTCCTTGATAAAAGAACTGCTTACACTCTGTTGTGAAAGTTTGGTTATAAAGGAGATTGGGATTATATTAAAACCAAGGTAATAATAAATGAAGCACTCTGAATAGTATCCATTCTACATGTTCTATAATGCCCCCAAAAAGATATATAAAAGAGATGGGACTCAAATGACTTTAACCTTAAAGCCTTCTTGAAAACTTTTCTTTTAAAAAAATTGCTAACTTACTAGCTTTAAATGAAAAAATCAGGTAGAAGTTTTGATGAATTGGTCACAATTTCAATCATTCTTAAGCGACATCCAGATAAAGGCAACAGTAGTTAAATCAGCCATGGATGAATTGGAAATAAATTGCTGAAAAGATTTGAAAGACAAAGAGTTTTGCTTGAAAACTGGAGATTTGCTAGGAGAGGCTGAAAGAGGCATTAATAAACAGGACTTTCTTAGGAAAATTGATGAACACTGTGGAATAGTGTTAACTAGAAGACAACTGTCAAGAGACATGTTCCAATTTGCAGGGAAATTTACTGAACAAGTACTACGGAGATATCTTCAATGGAGATCCACATTTTGGGGGAGTGAGAAACAGCTGTTTGGAAAGATTTCCATTTCTAATTTTAAAGAAAAGTGAAGATGACAGGCTAGAAGTTGTTATTATAAAGAATCATTTGATGGTATTTGATCCTTGACAGATCAAAGACAATGGTTGCAGTGAGTTGATTAGAGCTTGCTTGTGGACTTTCTACAGTCTAAATAGAATAAAATTGTTGACAGAAGTCTTTGAAGTTTAGCTTGATTGTTGGAACTGCCTGTTACCTGCATTTTTGTAGGTAAAATGCCTACAAAAGGCATTTTTGTAGTAGATAGTTGATCAAATTCATTAATTGATTTCTATATTTATTATGTTTTAATGATGTATACCAATTTTGCAAATATTAGATGTAGAAGTTCATAAATGGTGGACCTGTTTTGCAAGAGAGGGAACAGCTATTGCCGAAATATATTTATCAGTATTCAACCAGGAGACATTTTATGTGTATTTTAATATTTTGTTCTATACACTTTTTTTTCCTTTGTCTTTGTTTGGTATTTATTTTCTTTCTCTCTACCTTTGCAAATAAATATAATTTTTTTATAAAAACATCTTTTCTGGGAATATAAAAAGCAGCAATCCAAAACAATAAAAGATGCCAAGTTAGAGAAGATTGACACAAAAGATGGCAGCAGATATAGAATAATATAACAAAATTTCTCTTTCCAAATAGGAAGCTTTCTTAGATTTACCTTTACATTATTATAATTTTTATTTATTATAAATTATATAAACAGAAGTCACATTGTACTAGTTTTAAAGAAGAGATATGCACCTCCTAAAACCTGTTCATGGCTGTTTAATGCAGCACAAGACTAATGTCAGCTGGATCTCCAGCATGGGTTTCTTCAGCATGCTTGCTATCGGCTGCCATAGTAATGGGGAAGGGGGGCCTGGGTACTTGGGATCAGGAAGCGAGTTGGTGTAGTCCCATGAGAACTGAAAGGGAGGTTTGCACTCATGAACTATGTGCTGCTGAGTGGAGTTGTTTACACACTGTCAAGGCCAACCTCCTGAGACTCCAGATGGGAGAAATATTTGAAGACAGGCTTTTTCCACAAGATCATATTGGACGTTGACTGGACTTTCAGTGCTGGATCCTCTGGGGGGAGGGATTTGGGGTGACTTTCAATCTGTAACTTTTGCGCATTTTGAATTAGATCTTGCCTTGCTTTCGCTATCATTTCAAACTTAGTAAAAGTACCTCTTCTCTAAATGAATGGAGTGGGGGGGGGGGGAGGAGTTTCTTCCTTGAGTTTTGAACAGAGGTAAGCCTGACAACAATCTAAACATTGCCAATTGTGATTTATCCACAGAACACACCACTTGATACACTGTTATTCACAAACCACAATGATTATATTTAAACACTACGCTAACCCAAAGCTAAACAAGTCCATTTTATTAGTGTGGAGCATGTGCAATGAGAAAACTGGGTCCTTCATATGAGCCACAATACAGGCCAGCTTCAAAAGGAGTTAAGAGAAGATAAAAAATAAAAGTCCTCATTGAGTTTGGTTATTTCATATATATGTCCTTGAGAGTGTTTCTTGCAATTGTCCTTTCCTAAATAAGGACCAGACAGTGACATTCAGCTTATCCTTCTTACAAAGATCCATCAATTAATGTCACTATTTTGTCCTTAAAACTTCAAGGCAAGATGTTAAGACTCATAACTACAAAATGTTTTTCAATTGTATAGCCCAAACTCCACTAGAATGCATCAGAAGGAGTTGTCTTTCTCTTCCCTCAAGGTTTAGACATATCAAGGGAAACACTTAAAATATTTGTGTTTCTTAGCAAAGGACACTTACGAGGTGCGCACTTCCTTGGTTGACTTCTGGAGATTGGCATTTTTATCCCCAAGGCGCTTGACCAATGAAGCCAGCATCTTGCGTTGATTCTTGACTGCATCATCCAAGAACTGGTACCTACAAAGAAATTATTCTTAACATTTGTTTCAAAATGTAGCATAAAAATGAGCACTGTATACAGTTAGCTTAGCAACCACAGGAAAAGTTTGACATTACAGGGACTTAATGTTAATTGACAGCAAATGAGACCAGAATTGCCACTGTTAAATGACAGTCATAAAAGTGTGACATCACATGACCGTGCCACTTAGCAATGGCAATTCTGGCAGTCACAACTGCCTTTGTTAAGTGAAAATCACATGGGTAGTTAAAGGAAGACCCACATGACTGACTTCCTGCTGGCTTCTTCACTGACTTTGCTCTGTGGGAAGCCAGCAGGGAGCATCAGAGATCATGATTGTGTGACTGCAATATCACTGCCATAGCTGGAACTTCAAGGACCTATCATAAGTACAACTTGTTTAGTATTGGTGCAAGTCCAGCCACTAAGCAAAGGACTACCTGAATCAATACTCACTTCAACCAAGACCAGAGAAAGAAGAGTACTGCTAGACATAAAGAAGACACTGCAAGACAGCACACACATCTTTTTCAAAGTGTGAGAAGGAAAACTAAACTTATGAAAGCTGCTGAAGACAGAAACATTTACATTTATTTAAAGCATATTTAAGAACATGTAATGGAAAGTTCATATATGTATTCTAAAAAGAGAGAGAAGCAAAGTTAGGACGATCATTTGAAATTCTGTTCCCCAGAAACTGTAGCATTTGCAACATCCTTAAACAATACCTATCAATATTCAAAAGTAAAATTGCTCAGAATCTCAGGAAATAGAACTAAATCTATTAAAATCACCATTCTCGTGCAGATATCATTACCATTTAAAAAAATGTGTTGAGAGGAGAATTCACCACACGGCACAAAGACAGGAAGGAGTATCCAAGACCTGAAAGGGTTGCTAATTCTGCTGACCCAAGATAATGAATCCTACATTCCCAGAAAACTGCAGAATCACCCCATAATTAACAGGAATATGATTATACAATCTACAGAAAAGCTTACTGGTGATCTTTGTGAGCATTCAGCTGACAGTCCCGGCATGTCAGGGTGTCACAGGTATCACAGAACAGAACAAGAGGCTCATGTTTATGGACAGAGCAGTAGATAGTCTTCTCTCTGGCCTGCGATTTGGAGGAGCCTGAACAGAAAGAGTAACGGAATGCTTATTTATGTGGATAGTTTGGCTTGCAGGGACTATATGAGATGCTAATATGTATATGAAAATAGTTTACTTTAGTGAACCAAGGTGTCAAACTTAAGGCTTATGTCTGGCCCTCAGGGCCGGCCTGGAAACAGCAAAGGACTGGCCCGTGGTGCCTCTGCCAATGAAAACAGAGCTTGCAAGCTCAATTTTCGCTGACAGAGGGCTATCAAAACAAACTAAAAAAAAAGGAGAAATGTTTCTCCTTTTGCATTTGAGCATGCAAGAAGGGACAGAAAAGAAGAAAGACAAAAAAGACAAAGAAGGAAAGACGGGAAGAGAGCAAGGAAGGAAAACGAAGGAAAGGGGAAAAGGAAGAAGAAAGGAGAACGAAGAGGGAGGGAGATTATGAGAATGAGGGAGAATCTCAGGGAAGTCCTGCCTTAGCACTTGGCCACCACAGGTGCTCCCCCACCCTGCACGAGTGATGTTGAGCTGGCCACACCCACCATGGCCATGTCCCCCAGCCCTCTGAGGTCAAGCACAACCCTGATGCAGCCCTCAATGAAATAGTTTGACTCAGTTTAGCATATCCCCCAAGTCAAGTTTACATTTTTGTCCATAGCAGCCTCTGTGATTAGTATGAGGCCTTCTCTTTGTGTTACTGCATACCTGTGGATCGGACTGTATGGTCCTTAGTGTACTTCACTCTCTGATGGGCCTCCACACATGTCTCACACAGGGGCTCTTGGCATTCCACACAAAAGCTGGTGGCAGGGGCATTATCTTCACAGCTAGTGCAACACTAATAGGAAAATGCTACTGATTAATCAATCAATAAAAGAAAACCCAGGCCACATCCCCAGCCCTGGAGATGTAAAATAGACAAGTCACATTCATAAAGCAAATATTACCTGATTAGCATCTCTAGCATCACCAAGAGCTTCCTTGTCATCATCCCTCAAAAAGTAATTCTCCACAATGTCTTTTAGATAACACTGGTGCTTGCAAACTGGGCAATCAACCACTGGGGGATAAAAAGGAAATTTAAAATCTACAGGTGTACAGAAAAGCAAACACTTCTTTTCAAATACCATTCTAGCCACATCTTAGCATCAGATGGCACCTAATTGATTTACTTGTGAGAGCTTGTTTGCTCACTCTAGATGGATTATTAAATGTAATAACATCTAGTGACTGATCAAGAGTTTTTAAAACATATAGCGTTAAGAAACTTTTATGTATTATGCCAAAATACTGCTCAATCTTTCCTCATGCCATTTCTTCAGCTTTCTATAAATTTTGCTTATAAAAAGTCAGAGTAATATTGCCACTAATAGCACAATTATGTCACATTAGTGCTAGAGATCTCCTCCTAGAGATACCTGGCCCCAAAACCTGACTAAATAAGTCAGGATAATCAGTTTCCACCAGCATCCTCTGGAGTTGCAATGCCGTCTCCTTCCCAACCACCTTTCCTAGAATGGGGAGATGGGGCACTGAAAGAAAATTGTAAAATGGTACAATCTAGCAATGGTTTCTTGAGTAGGAGTATCAGTCTCCTTTAAAAATCAGGGAACAATCCCTCCAACAAGGATGAATTCACCATCAGATGGATTCACCCACACGTCACCTAACAAGCAGCCTTATATAGCCAGGAGGGGTATAGATTAAATCCCCCTATGGTGTTTGCATTCTATAGGACCATCTCCACTTCTTCAGGTCCAACAGAATTAGGTCTCCGAGGACAGACCAACCAAATGGGTCCAGCCTTCTTGCAGATGTGGAACCTCAAAGCCACGCCAGGGGAAGGGGGGGGGGGGACAGGGGACAGAGAGAGACAGACTACAAAAACTGCCAAGAAACCAAAATCTGGATATGGATAGGTCCTGAGTCAGGCGAAAAAATATTCATTTTCCGGGTCCACTTCAAGGACCACAAGCTGAACCATGATGCTGGGGATCTCCATCAGCAATCCTGAAGTGCCTTCCAACAGCTCCAGCAAGGCAGTTACTATGCAGCAGGGAAGCGGTTACACAGCAACCATCCCAGCTGCTCCTGTCACCTTAATTTCAGAAACAGCTTTTCACAACCAGAAACTTATGGAGCAGGTCCTGACAGCGACTATAGATTCCCAGATGACAAATGATATTTCTCCTCCCCTGCCATCTCAGCTGGCGCCAAACCCTAAACCCAGTTAGGCATATTTCCAAGAGGGCAATCCTACTTGGCCCAGTCCAGCTCTCACTACTATATACCATGTCAGCTTGCTCTTCCTGTAAAAGCCTTATTATTGGTTGACCTGCCATTAAGTAGCAACAGACCAAAACCTTATGCCTATTAGTATACTGACCAAGGCCTTGACATGAGCAAAGAGGGCCAGAATATAGCATCAGTATTTAAGTATTGGGGGTGCCTTCCTCATATGGAGCCCACTCTCTGTTGAAATGTCCCGTCATCACCATTTGGATGTAACAACCTGTCCTTGAGACCCCCGAGATTTCATCCCCTGCTAACCCTGGCCTCCTGACAGGTCCTGGTTCACTTACCTGGGGGGCGGAGGTGTTTCTCCCTCCCAAATATACAATTCAGATATTCGCAGCCAACCTGGGAGTGGTGACAGAAGCTATAGTACTCCAGCATTTGCTCTTACCATAATGGGGTTCCAACCCACATATCTCCATCCAGCTGTGTCCCCACACTGGACTTTCTCACTGACTGGTGGGAGGGCACCCAACTCACAATTCCTCTTATCAGAAAAAGAGTGCCTAACATTAAGTACAGGTGCGCAATATTAATTTGATGATAAAGCTATGCAAGGTCACATAACTACTCTCAATAACTACTCTCTTCCCTACACAAAATCTTGATCATCAGGATTATAATATTCACTTTGTTACACCTACTTTCACTTTCAGATACATCAGGAATATATGCACAGAATAAAAAAATATTCCATGTTAAAAAAAAGACAATAGCCTACAGTGTAATTCTTCTCGTCTAAAATGAGCAAGTTGAGATTTGGCAAATAAAATAGATGAATTACAGTCACATCATTTCAGGATGCTTTTTAAATTGAACTGCTTCTTGTTGACAAAAAAAGAATCCTTGCAAATAGTTTCATTGTTGTATTGTTATGAGAAATCCTTTTTCTCTAACTTCACAGGAGTCTTTTGATATAGTTTTATCAAGCAAAAATATAACTTTCCAGCTATCGCCATATTTCCCACACTTTTGGCCTTGAATTAGTAGACATAGAAGCAGATGTCTGGAAAGCTATTAGTCCTAAAAGCTAGTATTTCAGAAAAGGTCAGACAAAAAGGCAAGTTAAATAAATAAAAGCAATAAAACAAACAATATTTTCACTTGATAAAATTATATACAAATGTTCTTAAACAGGCATGATATTCCCCTCTGAAAAAAAAATCGGGGCCGGCCAAGAGACCCCCCACCGCGTGCCAAGAAATCACCCGCCCGCCGCTCGCCCGCCCCACCCGCCGCTCGCCAAGAAATCGCCCGCCCGCCGCTCGCACCGCCCAGGCGATTCCCCAAAAAATCGGAATTCCGATTTTAATCAGAAAAATATCATGTCTGTTAAAGCATATTCAGAATCCCAATATTTTTACTTTCTGCTATCCGGCTTGCTCATCTGTTTATTAGCTTTCAGACCCCAGTGATTAACGTTTTCCATTCACCTCTCATTTGTACACCTACCTACTGACTTACTGACAGTGCAGGTTCAAAAAAACAAATAATATTCTTTCTTATTCCTCCTCCTAGTCATTTCTTCATTCACTGACATTACCTAGTATCCAAAGTATCTTCATCATGTCAGACCCATCAGTTTGCATGAAGTAATCTTATTCTTAGCCATTTTACAAAAGAAATGTTTACAATAGGGATTTATTATTTAAATTCAAAAGGAATCCTCCAAAGATTTTTCAAAGGCAGTATCAGGAAATAACTCATTTCCAAATTAAAGTATAGCATCATGAGAATGTATGACACAGTTGCAATTTCCATGCCGTGTGTGTGTGTGTGTGTGTATGTTTGTGTGTGTGTGTAAGTTTTGCTTAGGAAAAAACCGTTATTTGGATCAATAAATTATTACCCATATATCATCTGATGTTACCTGATCTAGATCCAACTAAAATCATTTGGAATGTATTGAGCATAACAATTATTTGCTGCCATAATTTAAAATACTTTGTGAAAACTGCACAAGTTTGCCTCAGACTTTTTTACATACTAATAACATTTACACACACATGCATGCATCTCAGTTTCATCTCATTGTAAAACATGGTTTCTTGCTCAGACATTTTGCACAGAAATTAGTAGTGGCCTTGTCCTAAATGACATCTTGTCCCCCAAAGGTATTATGGGGCAGAATTCAGCAAAGCAAAAAGCATGTTTTTGATAGAACCAAGAAAATAAACACTGATAGGGTGTACTGAACACTGCGTTTTGCCTTGCTGAATTCACATACACTCACACAAAATCATGTATACATTATAGATGTGTACATATACATCATGTATACACAAATATAAAGACTATACAAAGACTATACTTTCAGGGATCATTTCTATAGTATCCAACTAGAGAAATGCACTCGAAATTTGCCTACCATCAGATGTTGTACAGAAATCGTCCTATTTACATAGGATAGTCCCAGAATTAAACTTTTAATAGGATAGGATAGCCTCAGAGTTAAACTTTTTAAGTACCACTACTTCACAAAATTAATCTGCAACAATTGGCGCAACATTATATCCTATTGTAGCAATGCTTTAAAGGCTGAAACAACAAAAGACTGAGAAACAGGACTTCCATATCAGGAAAACTATCCAGAGGTAGAAGAGGCCCTACAGATGTCTTATACACCCATGCACCAGATTAGACTAGCTAAAGGTTAGTGAGAAGCAGCTTCATATATTCAATGTAAGGAAGAAAGACATTATCCTTAGAAAGCAACCAAGATTTTCTATTTATCATAATTCTGCAGGAGTATCTTAAGAGAACATGTACCAAATTAAAATCTGTTCTCAAGTTTCAGTTCCAGATGATGTACACTGTATTTTCTTGATTATCACAAAAATGGATAATTGCTTGTTAGCCAAGTTTCTACCAATTTGAATTGTTTCCCAATCAAAAGACAGTCACAGTTAGCATATGAGAGGATAAAATCTCCTGATGTGTTTATCCTGTATTAATTCTGGAGACAGGGGAAAAAATATATATCCAGCATGCTGTCAGAGGAATTGTGGGAGTTGAAGTCCACATATCTTTAAGTGGACAAAATTGATAAAACTCAATCCTACAAAATCCCTATAGAAAAATAGTTAAGCCTTCACTTCCTTATTATCTCATTGAAATAGCAAACTACTTTTAGCTAAAAGAAAAATGAGAAAAGGGCATGGTTTTTTTTCTGCCATGTGCAATAGGAAATGGATACCCTTTTAAAAATCTATTCAAATCTATAGACTAGCCTGCAGTAACATTCCCTATAGAGTGACTGCTTATCATTGTGTCTAAAGTAGCGCTCTGGACAAATGAACACATGATCTTTAAAATCTTAGCACTCTAACTTAGCCACACATATATTCATTGGGATTTTGGGGGGGAAATTTTGGAAACTAATGTCAGAATTGCCATCATTCGCTAGCTGCCAGGGAAGGGAGCCTGTTGGGAGGAGAGAAGTCTGGGAGGAGGGAAGGCTAACTACTCATCTTATCTTCTAGAGATACCAACTCAAGGACAAAGCGCTAGGAATGAAATGCAAAGGGCCGTTGAAGAGACAGTTTCCAAAACAATTTATTCAATAGGGGAATTTCAAGGGAGAGGAACTTTAGTTTCCAAAACAGTTTATTCACATACTCTTGGACAATAAGGGACTTGCAAGGGCAAGGACTTGGAAAAGAACTGAATGGGGAAAGTTAACTGGGAAAGCTTGCTGCAAACTTCAGTTCTAACTTTGCTATACTGTAATCCGCTTGGCCTTTAGTAAAGTAAACCCTTCACACC